CGGCTTCTACAAGCAGGGGTAATAATTGCTAGAGGACGGACGACGGCTGTCGGTGCACTCGTCCTCTCCCGCTCGCCTTTCTAGCACCAACCCCCGGTGAAAAGTACCGGCGGGGAGAGGAGATCCAGTGCCGGCGCAACCAGCACGCCTGCCTTAACACACACTGAGGAACTCTGCCAGATTCTCCCTGTAATTGTCATCATTCGCAGGTATCCAGGGTCCGGGTGCAAATGGGAGCTTATATACTTCCACAACGCCGGGGGAGATAAACATGTGTGCATTGGTCGTGAAAGTTCCCTCGACATAATTAAAGGAGCAATTAGACAAAAATACATCTCCTTGCGATAAATCCTCTTCTGGTTTGTGCAATAATAATAATAATAATTAATAATAATAATAATTAAATAATAACGTACTCTAGCCCGAGTGTCAAGTAACTGCATTTAACACAATAGTTCCCTGTTAAAATAAACCAGGTTTTATAAAGTTTTCAGATAAATGTTCTATCTGGATCTTCGAAATGATATTTTATGGAGTTTATTTTTTTACAGGGAATTACGCTCAAGCTAACCGAAGACGAAAAATGTGTTGTGGCTCGAATCATGCACGGAGGAATGGTACATCGACAAGGTAATTTGTACCTTTATGTCCCAAGCTAGAACAAATATGCTAGGCCTTGATGAACTCTGCTAAATCATTCCCAGAAAAAAAGCGGTTTTAAATTTTGTTTTTCTTCTTTTTAGGCCATATTTGAAAATAAGCATTGCATTGTAAGCGGCTTTTTAATTTTTTTAATATTTTTCAGGCACGTTGCATGTTGGGGATGAACTGCGTGAAATAAATTCGGAGCCAGTTTTTGGTAGATCGGTCGAGTATCTTCAACGACGTCTGGTATAACCCCTTTATTTAGCGTCCTTCTAATTTTCCAAAAATTCTGTATATTTCTTTGTCATATGCCCCTTATACACATAGATACATACCAAACGAGGCAGGACAATTTGTGTGGACGTTCTCCTTTATGAATAAGAAACAGTATTTAAAGTTGATTTAGGCTGCGTTTATGCTGGGAGAATAATGATGATATACCCGAAAACACATTCAAATACCAAACGACAGTTATCGCCCTAGACAGCCCGATTGCTTACCTTTTATTCCAAGCATTACCTGCACTGACGTAAGAAATTGCAGTCTGTGTCGTAAATACCACGTGTACTGATCGGCCCAACTCCTAACGTCTTGAATATAAGCGATAAGAAAAGGTGAATCTGTTGGGAAAGGTCACCAAATACCATCCAGCATATTTTAAAGTGTACTCCTATTCCATATTAGAAAGATTCTAGAAATCGTAAATCATACATTTCTTCATTAAGACATGAGAAACCTCACATCCAAATCGTTTGCAATCCAAAAAACAATAAGTATTAATATTTTAAGACATAACCGGTAAAATTTAAGTTTTTTGCCCACGTTAGATACCTCTAGCCCCCTCAGTCTTGTGGTTAACTTAAGTTCTATTGGTTATAGTTCACTTTTAATTAGTTTTACGTTTATTATTTAGTTAATTAGTTTAATTATAGTTTTGGTTTAGGTTAGTTAGATACCATCAACGTTAGATAAATATACTTAAATTACTACTTTATACTGACATAAACTACCTTAAATCAGCTCAACTACACAAACTTACCTAACGTAAACTAAAAACAATGAAAACTAAAACTGAAATGCAATTAATAAGCTAAAAACTTAACTCATACTACTGGCCCCGCAAGACAGAACTCTGTGGCCAGGGGAATCTGAGGCGAGCAGTCAACTTAACTTTTACCACATCAGTTGGTTGACTGTGTGATCAGTATTTTATTCTTTTAATGAGCAGCTGATGATAAAATTTATAATTGAATGCAACCTAGATATTTATTCGATAACAACTGAAAGCCGCAACTTCATGTGTTATTAGGGCTGCTGGATTGTAATCTCCTACTGGAGATGCTGCATTTCATCTCAAACATATTCAGATATCCCAGTACAATTGTAGGTGGCATGCTTCTATACGTTAATTCTACCCAAAAATTGTATTGTTCTTAGTTTAAATGTCAGCTAGCAGCCACACATCTGTTTCCTTTCATTGGGTATAGCTGTTTTTTAATTTTCACTTCGAAATAATTGAAATACGCGAAAGTCAGTTTTGAGACTTGATTCCTCCACCAGTCTGGTAGTGGAGTTGTGGCTTATCCTTTTACTGTCATCACAAATTCTCACTGCTTTGTTCATTGTCCTTCTTGGGCATTTCACTCGAGTGTAAAATTTCCGACGGACCAGCAACCATACTACCATTCGTTGCATGTTTCTGTTCAATTGGTAATTCCTCAATATCCACTCCATGCAGATCGATTTAGTCAAAATATGGTTCGACTGCGCAGTGGTAGGCCTCTTATATTGAGGCAGTGTTAGAGGAGCAGGTGCATACATTGAGATCTCAGATAGTTTGAAAAAGCTTTCTCGTTTTTTAAAACACTACCGAGAATTTGGAATGTATAACAGTCGAAGTATTGCCTGTCAAATCGTAAACCCGTAAAAATATTTTTTTAATCGCTTTTCATGTTTCAGACTGAATAAGAACCTTGCCAGTACGGTTGACTATTTTTCGGTGAAATTACAACTAAAAGATGAGCAGGGCATCGTAGAGAAGTCGAAACATATAGAAACGATCCACTTTTCAGTAATTGTAAACTATTTAAACGCAGATAAGCGAACTTATCTTTGGTCAAATTCTCGACAACAACTTTCTATTTCTTGTAAGCTGATGAAGAAAAACTGTACTTTTAATTTACCATTGCACGTTTCCTACTATTTCAGGATCGTAACCGTGCACACGATCTTCATCTTTCCGCTAAATTGAACATCACTTTTTGAAACACCGATATTTCTTTTTTTCAGCGTGAAGCTAGAGGAAGCGTGACCTTGAAAATCGTTCCCAGTTGCCGTAACAACCCGATGCAGTGTGAGGTAAAACTAGGGACTTCCTGTGAATCGATTTGTTATCCGCGATTATTCTTTGCATGGATTAATTTTATGTCATATTTTCATCTTAATATTATTTTCATATATGTTGTTGACGAAATGTTTGTTGTCATGACTGAGATTACATAAAAAAATAGTTAATACACTTCCAAGCTATTTGCTTTTTAACCAGAGGCGGACTTCATTCCCAGCTTTAAATCATTTGTAACGGTGCCCCAATTGGTGGACTTAGATATTATAGTTCAATGCTTCAAAATAGTAAATCCATCGTATTTTTCAACGTTCTAATGGGTAAGCCTGCATTGCACCACTTGTCCGGGCAAAAAATGAGCGAAATTCGGAAAGAGGAATGAACCATTATAAGCAGTAATTCGCAGAATGCGTAGAAGTTTCATAGCTTCCGGCGCAATAATGGCTAAAGTGATCAGTCCATACTTAGATTTAACACACTAATTAACCGTCAAACTTGACTCTTTTGATGATCGGATAATCCACACTTTATAGTGGAAAATCAGTGTGCATATTCCCAAGAGGTGGTGGTGTAGCTTGTCGGCAAGAGGAGGAGCTGGGCCATTTTGTTTGATGCTACATTGACTGCCCTCATCCACGTAAGCGTAATGCCTCAGTTTATCAGGCAACATAATGGAAATATCTTTAAAGATGTGATATTAAATCTGAAACGCAATATTGCACCGTCGTGATGTAAGATCCTACCGCACTGAGAGCTATTCCAACAAATCGATTGAACGAAGGGATTTCATAGCGTACCTTACTTATTCACTGGCTCTCGCAGCGCCAATGAAGCCGAAAAATTGCCTTATTTCGAGTGAATGAAGAAAGATTAATTTTTGAAAGTGAAAAGTTAGTCGCTTTTAACGAAATTAGTTTCTTAGGCATCGAAATTCCCGTGGACCAGGGCATTGGCCTGTGGTCTTTTGGATTTGCGCTTTTGTATTATTGTGCCTGCTTTGCATTCGCAGCCTCCATCTATATTGCGATGTCGATTTCAGTAACGAAACCCAACGTGACTAGAACATAAAAAATGGGAATTTACGGCTCTTACATTCCTGCCACCATAAAACAGATTCCAGAGTAAATGCTGTCAAACTGTTTTTAATGGGCTGGTCTGCGTTCCATTAGGTTAAGTGGGGTTCACGCATTCTATAATAAATGCCACACATGGTGGGGGCGTATTGGTCCTCCTAGGCGCAGGCTTAACGCCGCGGCAGCCACGTGCAGCTTAATCCGAACATCAGATGATTGGCCGTTTGGCATAGAGATTAAGATCGATACTGTGAAACAAATTCCCACAGCAATTTGGTGCATTCCTAAATAAAAAAATCTGAAGTGCCGGAAACTAACGTGACGCGCGAAAAGTCGTTGCTTAGAATGTTGCCGCTTGACTGGGTAAGACTTCATGGTTGCTTCACAATGCTGCCTCTATGGTACTTCCGCTCAGATAGACTCTGGATAACCCCTTTCTTTTGTGAAATGCTGGTCTGTTGGGCGAGGACCAGGTCTTATGCGACACGCGAAGACGGGCTGTTAGATAAGTCACTCACCCCGTCCGAGCCAGCCACCGATCGTTTTGCTGCTGAGCCCACGTGCATGAGGGTCAACTTTCTTCGCAGATGCTCTATTACTCTCAACTAATTCTCGTACAAGTTAACGTTGGCACCAACAACGCTCTGGGGCACACGATTAACATGGTCGTACTCGAGAGCCGGACTGTTGTACGCATTTCTCCAGGACGCCTTACCCCAGTACCGTTGATTGACATTCTTGGACAGTCAAATGGTAGAAAAGAGAAGCTAATAAGGCTGATACTGAATAATCATTTCTCATGTAAATCCAGTGCATAACGAATCTGATAAGCCTGATTCTATCAGTCATGACTCAGAGATTCGTGAACTAATGGGTTAATTAGGTATATCCTGGATGTAGGGTCTGACCATAAGGGCTCCTTCTGAATTTGGCCTTTATGGTTCTCTCACTTCCCTGCGTGCTTCGGGCCGAATTTATGGTGGCTTGGCATGAATCGGAGTCCGGATCATGTGCGTGTCACGCATGTACGGAATGTCCAACTTTGCCAACCACTGCAACCTGGCACACTTCCAAACGCCTTGACTTCATCTTACCATTGCAGCCGTGTGGATGAAGAAGAGAGTTCGATAAAGGCAGCGCGCGTCTGACTGATTGAAACCTACGTTACGCGCAAATTATCGCTGCTGGGTCCACTTCTTGTGGTAGCAGTGGACGTCGTCAGTCGTGACGACCAAACTGTCGTGCATACGTTTAATCTGTTGCGAAACTTAGACAACCTAATTGACATTTAGAGCAAAGCAGTTGCGTTAACTGCGCGCCCTATCTTAGAATACAGTAACCGGACGTTTCGTATAGAAATTTGCTTATAGTATGCGACTGACGCATAGATTTGTTTATCACGTATGCTTACTTAACCTTTATATTTCTGTTCACTTCCCGAGGCTATTGGTGCCTGAAGAAGACATCATATCGGTCAGAAGCTGCTGTCATATCACTTTGCAAAGCCTTTGTTGACCTGCTAGGATGAGAAGCCTTCCTCATTCCACCTTTTCACTGGGTCTTACAAAGAATTGAAACTATGCATTTCTGATCTGTTTCTGTATCGTACGGCAGAGCTTTCTGCCTAGAAAAACGCTTTTGGAGACGCCGCACAATAGTGAATTATTCAAACTAATTAGCTTAGCTTTTTTAAGATTCGTTGTAGCAAAATAAAATTTTCGTCGCTTTGATCTCTAGTTCGCAATTCCGGTTTTCAACGCGGACAACGGAGAGAAAGCAGAAATGTCTTGCCTTTCTAGTCCGCCCCCAGGCGCCTTATAAACAGTGTTTTTCTTAAAATACCAGTATAAACTCATGCTGCCCGTGACAGTTTTTATCTCTTTTGACTAATAAAAAGGTCTTTATTTTCGACTTTTATTGCGCAAAAATCACTCAGCGAAACTCATTTACTTCCACCACAAAAGATCAAGTATTTTTCCTGATTTCTTTGCCTTAAATTGATTTTAAGTCATTTTTTCGAAGGATTGTTGTTACCTCGATCATTGTGAGAGATATTTTTTGAAATTACGCAAGTACTTATACAAACTTCCTGTGCCTTTCACGTTCACTTTCTCACACTTCAAAGATCTATGTTCGAGCAATGTTCGCGTACTATCCAGAGAATGATGACCTTATTCCCTGTGCGCAAGCAGGCATCGAATTCGAGGTGGGCGATATTTTACAAATTATCAGCAAAGACGACCATAACTGGTGGCAGGTCAGTAATTTTTTGCATTGATAATGGTCGTTTTCCTTTTAAAATTTCAACGAATTTTTACTGTTATCTAATAAGTATTTTTTACTTCTTAATTTCAGGAAATACAATTGCAAATTTTCTAGTCTTTTTAAAAATATTTCCGCTGGTTTTTAAAAAAGGATACTAAGTAGTAATATTTTCCCTAAGTGCATGCAGGTGTATCTTAACGTTTTCGAAAACGTTTCCTTTAAATGTTTTCGAAATTAATTTTACACTTAGCCAAAACAGCAGTCAGTTTTTGAAAACTCTGGCAAATTCTGATGTTATTTGTTGAACTGAAACGGAAGCGTAAGGTCTAAAAAAACGAAAAACTCGGACGATGACTTTGGTCTGCAATAACTCTTAATAAAGCCGGTTGGGCAAATAATTTTGTTCCTACTATAAATTTTAACAAAGGTCTGGCACGCAAGTTGAAGCAACTTGAACCTCTTTAAGGACGGAGAAAATTGAAATATTCAGTTCCAAGTTACCTAAAATGCTCAGCAGTTAGTTGCATAAATATCTATAAACTAGATTATTTGCATGCGGCAAGCAAGCGATTGTCCAGAACTCCACGGCGGAAATATTGCTCATTTGATATAAGAACATAATTCCTCACATAAAATAGTCTATTAAGCTGATTCAGGCTTGCGGTTAAAACTCTGCATTGCGTCAATTTTTGGACCGCCTAAATCACACTCGTTGTGTTAAGAATCGTTTTAGCGAACTTCTTACACTTATCTGCCATTTTGGATTAGGTATTTCATGTTTTTCGCACAATTATTCAAAACTTTCTTCATTAGTTTAAGCAGTTAAATAAAAACGTCTTTTTCACATTAATTTATACTCATAGTTGTTTCTTTGTAGCGATAAATATTTCATCAATGTGCTTGCTGCTGTGTCATAGGTGCCATCGATTTATTCCGCTATAATTACTGCAAACCCAACATTACACCATCAGCAACTTAAATTAGGGATACATATTTGTATGTAGTCTTAAGAAAAAACAATGTTCCATAGTTTCCCTCACAATTATCAATGTCGTTTGATTTGCGTTCTACCTCGTAGCTTCCTAGCTTTATGTTACCTTGGTAAAGCCAAAATAGTTCTTCTTGCAACTTCACCATCTTTCCAACAGGCCAGAGTTTGGGGTTCAGATCCTCAGAGCCCTGCTGGTCTCATTCCGAGCCCTGAATTACAAGACTGGCGTGCCGCAAATCGTGCCGTGGAACACACACATGGATCCATGGTGAACTGTGGTTCTTGGTTTAGCAGAAAGAAGCGAGGGTCCAAGGATAAGTATCGTGCAAAGCAGTCTGCCCTTTTCGATCAGCTTGAGCTCTATACCTACGAGGAGGTCGTCCGACTCCCCACCTTCCGTCGACGCACGCTTGTTCTGCTTGGGGCCCATGGCGTTGGTCGTCGACACATTAAGAATAGTCTTATCCAATCAGCTCCAGAGCGTTTTGCTTATCCCATCCCACGTGGGTTGCATATCAATGCTGTGAAATTTATACTTGTCTCTGTGTTTTCGTTCTATTATCCGTATATATTCTAAATGCCGCGTTCTTATTCCCAAGAAAACATTTTGTGCGCCATAAGGTTTACTAGTGCCAGCCACATGCATCCATTCGAATAAGATTCCTCAGCTTGCTAGGATGCCCATTTAGTGTACTCGAGACGACTGTTGAATAGGAACGTGCTTTGTATTTAATTTTCGCTTACTGCTTTAAGGACCTTGTTGTTCCCAGTAAACCTTACATGATAAGACTGCGCGAACTTGTCTCTGTCAATTTTGCAAATGGCACTTCTCCATGCCATTTTCCTTATCGTCCCCATCCAGTTAGTTTCAAAGAATCGAGAATGCTCCTTTAAGATAATCATGATGACAAATTTTAATGATCTGAAATTCTTTTAATTTAACTGCATTCATACACTCTAATGACACAATTTGCGTAGGCTGAAATAAAATTAAGTACTTTTTTGATGTAGGCTCGCAGTTCATTACATGAGTTTATGCGTTTTTATGACAAGTCTTAACAAACGCCGAATGCATTATCATGTAATATGTTTTGAATTACGGCCGTCTGCGCTTTCTTA